CAAAACAGGAAAAGCAACTGCGGCTTTGGGCGATGGAAAGAGAGGGGGGAAAGCATCATTTCACTATTCACTGCCTCCTGCAGAAGCAGGCAGCGGTTGCTCCCGGAATTAATTAAACATCAGAGTAGCACTAACGATTTCTGTAGGCGTGGAGGCTTTGGCCCGAGGCCCCCCGAGCCCATGGCAGCGCTGGGCACCCCGAGCTGCTGCCCGGGGCCGTGTCCCCTCTGCCCACTGCCCGGGGGGCAGCTGGGTGCTCAGACACTTCGGTAACACCCTGCCAGGAGCCCGGGCCCCCAGGGTTGGGCGGCCTCACCCTCTGCTGTACAAACCTGTCAAAAGCAGCTTCAGAAGGCGCTAGGAAAGGCTGTTCAGAGGCAGCTGCAGGCACCGCAGCTCCTGTCCCGGGGCAGTGGCTGTGACAGGGACCCAGCAGAGCCGGGGCCGGACCCGTGGGATGTGCAGGATGTGATGCTTGGATGCTTCCCAAGCGCAGGGGCAACGCTGCTGACTCTGCAGCTTCTAAAACAGGCCAGAGGAAAACAAAACACCATAAATTGGCAGGTTTAATTTTGCATCAGTTCACAGCGTATTGTTACATTTTTTAAGCTTATAAAACTATTGATCAGAAGCGAGGCAATTACTGCTGCTGGTGGTTAAAGCTGTGCAGCAGGCGATGAGGAGCCCTGGCTGAACACACCCCCTGGGTCACACGGGGGAGGCAGAAAACTTCCCTCAGAGGGAAAGCCCAAAGCCGAGGCTCCTCCACGCCCGCCCACGGGGATGGAGGTCTCGGAACCAGAGTCATGGGTCAATCATGAAAAACCCCAAGATGGGCACAGTTTTGGACATGCTGCTTAACAAGAGGCTAAAATAGGGGACCCCAGGATGTGACCCCAGAGTACCCACAAATGCTTTGCCTCCAGGGGCTTCAAAACCCAGCATTAAATGCAATCACTATTCTCAGACCTATCAAAAACAGGAGAACTTCTTCAGCTACCTTCAAACCATTTTGAGTTGGGCTTTGAAATACCTTCAATAACCCAAGGGAGGTTGAAGCATCTTCCCTTGAAGCAAAACACCCCCTTGACCTCCCAGTCAGAGCCCCTCTCTGCTCCTTAGGATGGTACTGAGCCAGGCAGGTGTCCCACGTTGGTGACACCCCCGTGGTGGCCAGACCTGATCAGATGGGATATTTGCATAGCAAGTTTTGTAGAGAATAAATATCACACTTCAATTTCATGGTAACTTAGGAGGGTTTGCTGGCAAATACCATGGCTCTTACATGGTTCTACCAATTACTGAGCAATTACACGTCACCTAGATCTGGAGGACATACAGTAGCAACACAAAGTATTCCTCCCTGCTTTAAGGAAAAAAAGGCAGTTAATAGAAAACACTCTTTTTTTAAATTTTAAATTATAAACCCCTCCACAATATTCCTATGTGACATCATTAAAGCTCCACATCAATATCAAACCCAAAGCAAAAGCTGCCATCCCATTAACACGTCAGTTGCGGGACGATCAATAAAAATTTACTTTAAACCGCGCCATATGTCGCTCCCCACAAAGTTTTATTATTCAGATTCATCAGTTTGTACCTCAGCCCTCGTGCAATTAAATCCCATTTAGCGGCACTGACCTTCTGATTTGAACTTGTCATTCCTACAGCTGCTTTGGAGTTTAACAGCACTTTTAAATAATGAAAACAAACTGGCTGTGGTTAGCGGGGAGCCCTCCGCCGGGAGAGCCCTCCCGCAACGCAGCCCTGCCGGGGAGAGGGGGAACGGGCAAAAACCAGAGTGCCGGCGAATTTTAACGTGTTGTAGCATATTTATAAACATCGTTAATCACGGATTAGCAGATGGTGATGTTAATTGCACCTGTGGAAGTAACGAGACCTCAAGGTTGATTACATTGACAAAGCGGGACGGGGGCTGCGGGTTCCCCCAGCGCCGCGTCTCCGGCACCCGCTGCTCCCCCCCCGGCCCCGCAGCACCCACCCGCTGCCCTTCACCCCACGAGCTCTGCAGGGACACAGGAGGGGCTCTCTGTCCCAAAGCCCTTCCAGCCTCGGGAATCCTCACCAGGACCCAGGGATGGGTTGGATGGAGCGGGATTTTTTTGGCCCTGTTGATAATCTGTGCCCGAAACTGCAGGCTGGGGTGTGAGCTGAGCTCCTCTCCCAGCCAGCTCTCCCTGGGGCTGGGGCTGTGGGACAGAAAGATTTCTGTTGGCAAATCCAAGGGTAAAGAGGCCAGGGCGTGGAGTGTCTGCTGAACGAAGGAAGACAAATATTTTGCTGCTGCGCTCAGAGATACTTTTGATTATTGAGAAATCATTTTGTGAAGCACAATTACTAAATTTTAAAATCAATTTGGTAAATAAGCCTCTGAAAGTAATCCACGACAAGCAGCAGGGAGGGAAGAATTGACTTTCAAATTACGCACACCCACTTTATTCATATCTAAATATCAAAGAGACTGTATGTACAAACAGAAGCAATCAGGAAGCAAGTTTTGATCTTGGTGATGTACACAAGAAATGACAATTAATGTCCTCCTTTATGATATAAAGCTGGGATTTTTTTTTTACAGTTACATTACAGGGATGATTACAGTCAAGCTTAAGGCTAAAAATAATGAAACACTATAAAATCTACATTTTTAACATTTAAAAATATCCAGGAAATTAACTGGAGAAGCAGGCAATGATGCAATTAATGGATCACATTTATTAGATCAGGGGCAAATCACGCAGCACAAAGCTCCATCTCAAAAGGTGTGAGAGGCCCTTGTGCCCCTCACAGGTCTCAGCCCAGAGCAGGATGGAGCTGGGGCTGAAGGACAAGGCGTTGGCTGTGGTAGATGCCTCCAAAAGGCAGCTGGGTGACAGCAGAGGGGCACCCGAGTGAAACAAGCCAGGGCCAGAAGTGACCACCACAGGAAAGGGGCTGGATGCAAAGGGCAGAGCCCTCTGAGGGGCATTCACTGCACTCACAAAAGTCTGTATTGCAGCTCTCAAGCAAAAAAACTGAGCTGCAGCCCTAGTTACACGCTCAGATTCCTGCCTCTGAACACTCAGCCCTCACGCAGCTCCTGGTGAGCCTTGGCTGCACCCCAGTGCCAGAGGAAGGGGCTCTGGGGACACAGCAGCTGCACTGGGAAGTTCCCCAGGAGCTTCCATCTGCCCCACCCCACTGGGGCACTGAGCTTTCAAGGCTTTTTGGGAGCCTTCTGGAGGTAAAGCAGCTACTCCATAGTCACTCACCTGCCTCCTCACTGGAGGGGCTGAGCACAGCCTGGCAGTGCCTGGCTTTCCTGGTGAAGTGCCTCCACTGTGAAAGTGCTGCTCAGGTAAATGAAAAAAAAATTAAGAAAAAAGGAGAAACTGCAGCTCCTGTGGAAGCAGAAATAAGTACACTTACCCACCGGTCAGGAAGAAAGGCACAGCCCTATCCCCACCCCTGCCGCTCAGAAGGGAGGGCTCCGTTTGCCCCAGCGCTGAATCCTCCCTCTGGAAAACGAGCAAACCTGAGCCACGGGCCCCCTCTGCTGGGGTCCCCTCTGCTGCGGGAGCAGCCTGGCTGGGCTGCAGCCTCCCTGCCATGCAGCCTTATCTCAGCACCACAAAAAAAGAAAAAAAAACAACCAAAAAAAGGCACATTCGCCCCACAAAACACAAGAGCTACAGAACGGCCCAGCAACGCACCAGTGCACTGTCACTGGGTGACCAGCTCACCTCCAGACTCGGGCAGCACAGTCCTGCTGCCACCACAGCCACCCCTCCCGAGGGACCTGGGGTCTGTCCTCTCCCCTGGGGATGCCCAAGGGGCAGACACGGCCCAGACTCTCCATCACAGCCACAGTGAGTGCTCCACACCCCTCCAGAGCTCCGTGGCCTGTCCCTGTCCCCCCATCCCGGGCTCCTGGGGTGTCCCCAGCCCTGCAGCCACGCACTGGCCAGGCCCTCCCAGGGACACCTCTGGAAAACCTCCACATCCACACACCGGCTTACAGACTTCATTTAGCTCAAAGGAAAAGTCCTAATTAGTCACTCTGAGTGATTTACTTGTTCATTTGGAAGGGGGGAGGGGGGAGACTAAGCTGAATTGTTTGAAATTATCCCTAAAGGGCACTGTAAATTAAGTGTTAATGAGGAATCCTATGCAAAGGGCCACAGTAGCTAAATAAAATAATTAAGGTGCTAAGTGATAACATTCATTTGGTTCTCAATAATTCAGCCAGCCTGGTTTTCAACCGGGATATCTGCACATGAGGCCACCCTCACCCCATCCTCCATGCCATCAGTAGGGATGGTGGTGCTGAGGCAGCTCAGCATCCTGTAGGGTCAGGCCCATCACAGAAAGGAAACTTCCCCAGAAGAAACCAAGCTCCTGACTCCCCTCCCCACCTGGAGAGGTGTTGTGTCCCACTGCCCACACTGGACTGATGTGCCACACAGAAAGGAGACTCCAGTCCACACCCCACCTGTACAGCGGCTTTATTTCACTGCGCGGCCTCTCGCCCACAGCCCAAACTGTGTCCCCAGCAGGAGCCACGGGCAAGGTGCCCTGTGCAGAACACTCAGCAGTGCCAGCCACCACGGGGCACGTCACTGCAGCACAGAAGGGTTTGGCTGCCTGCTCTCTGAACTTGTTTTTCCTGCCCTGCTGACGGCAGCTCCTGGGCCGTGCCGGTGTGAGCTCAGTGCTGGTGGCACCACGGGGCACTGGGGCTCTCCCTGGAACCCGTGGTGATGGTGGAGACCCTGGGGAGAGCACTTCCATACCCACACCTCCAGAGCCCTGCCACAGACCACCGTGCAGCTTAAATACTGGTTCAACCACCGTGCCTCAGCCTCTGGCTGCAGATGGAGTGCAGGAGAATACCTGCAGGACAGAAGAAGAAAAAAAAATGACTTTTTTTTTTAAACCACAAGAAAACTGCTCTACAGGCTTGGCTGTTTGATTTTTAACTACAGAAATTCAGACTAGGATGCCTCTGAGCTCAGAACTGTTCTCACCTGTAGCAACAGAGACGTTGAGCGACTCCATGCCGGGGTGAAGCGCCCTGCCCGGGGCTATGGTCAGCAGCCGGTGGCACAGGAGCTGTGTCTCCAGGGAAAGCCCATCACCCTCACTACCTGCAGAAAAAGGACACTGCTCAGCTCAGCTCCCAGCTGCTGCCACGTCCCTTCTCCCCTGCCCCAGGCAGAGTTCTTGCTCATGCTCTGTCACAGCTACACCGTCACCTCTGAGCTCGCAGCAGCTCCCAGCAACAGCCAAGAACTACGGGAGGCAAGACGGGCACCTCACCCACCCTCCCTCCCCAGATCTGCCCCCCAGCCCCTGGCGTGGTTTTGAGGAGTGTCTGTGCAGCACACCTGTGTGCACACTGAGGCACAGAGCCTTGCAGTCTGTGTGTGAAGAGCCCCTGGGCAAGTGGCCACGGGCTGCTGGCAGAGCCACAGGGCAGGCAGGGGGGCCCAGGGCCCCCAACGTGCTCCAGCAAATCCCCCTCCCTGCTGACAGGGGCTGGTTCAGCCTTCCCAGCCCACGGCACCACCAGCTGGGTGCAACTCAGGAATGCAGACAGTTTAACCAGAGGCTTCAATTGATTAGTTGTTAAACCATCCAACAGCCCTGATACGTTTGGGCTGATACACTGGTGAAACAGAGTTGAAATCTATCCCAGGTCATTAGGAGTTGTTTGACTCACACTGTCACAAAGGGAAATGGAAAGGGAGAGGCTTTAAACAATCCAGCACGCAGACAGGGGAAAATGCAGAAGACCACAGACCTCCCAGTCTGCTCAGCTCCCCAGAGAATTCCTCCACATTGATTATTTAGCTACAGACAGCTACAGGGCTGCCAGAGCAGCCAGCTCATCTCAGAGACCTCACCCTCTGGCAGAGGCAGAGCACACCCACAGCCCAATGCTCCCCTTCAGCAGCTGTGTGCCAAGCATGGCTGAGGCCCACACTCAGCTCACCTCGAGGGAACATGCTCACCTGCAGCTTGACCAGCCCACACAGGTGCTCCAGGGACTTTCTGTGCCACAGGAGACTCACTAAGGCAAACGAGCTCCCTGCCGGGCTGCACTGCCACACAACTCCTCCCCTGGGGCCTGCTCCAGCTCCCAGCTGCACTCCACCCCCTGCTCACACAGGCTTGGAAGGTGCCACTGCTCCCACCTCACTGCCTGGAGGCTGAAGCCCAGTCTCATGTTTGCTGGGCTGAGCTAACTGGCAAGATGTGTTCAGTGCAAGCAGAAGAATGCTCTGCAATCCTGCATCCCCTTCCCCCGTGACGTAAGCCACGCTGGCAAAAGCCTCCTTTGGCTGGGGTAAGTGAGCCTTCAGAACACTCAAATCCCACCCTAACTGTTATTTTCTTCCTTCTTTTTTTTTCAGCTGGAAGTGCAAGGCCTGGGTGAGTTACCCAAGGTGACAGGGGCAGCCTGGGTGGCAGGAGGAATGGAAGCCAGGCCTCCCAGGGCCCAGCCTCTTCATCACCACACTGCAGCTCTGTGGGGATGCTCTGAGAAAAAAAAGAGTTTAAAAAATTATCCTATTTTTCACAGAACAGTTTTACTCCTGAGAATCTCAAAGCACACTCTTGTGGGACTCTCCAGCTGGGACAGCTGCTATTGCCAGAGGCAGGCCAGCTCCTGGAGCAATCCCCTCCTCTCTGAGAAGGGTCTCACGATTCCTCATAAAGGCAGCGACTGTGCTTCCAGCTTTTACAAAGCTTTTTATGGCTCTGGCTCCTTAAAATAATTAGGAATCATAAATTCAGGGCAAAAAGACTTGCACAGAGTGTGACACGAGGGAGTATTGACTGAATCACATTAAATCCTAGTTTACATGGGTGAACATAACACCACTGCAGATCTCCAACTTCCATCCCTCAACTCTGGCCCTCGCTGACGGGCCCCAAAGACAGGAGGAGCTGGAGCTGGGCTCAGGTTTGGGTGCATGGGACAAGAAAGACACTGAGGTGCTGCAGCAGGTCCAGAGAAGGACAAGGAAGCTGGTGAGGGGCCTGAGGAGCATGGCTTTGTGAGGAGCAGCTGAGGGACCTGGGTTTATTTAGTCTGGAGAAGGAGGCTCAGGGGAGACCTCTACAACTCCCTGAAAGGAGGCTGGAGTGAGCTGGGGTTGGTCTCTTCTCCCAAGGAACCAGCAGTAGGATGAGAGGCAATGGGCTGAAGTTGCCCCAGGGGAGGTTTCCGTTGGATATTAGGGAGAATTTCTCTCCTGGCAGAGTGGTGAGGCCTTGGCCCAGGCTGCCCAGGGAGGTGCTGGAGTCCCCAGCCCTGGAGGGGTTCAAAGAACATGGTTTAGTGGTCATGCTGGTGTTGGGCTGATGGCTGGATGTGATGCTCTTAGAGGTCTTCTCCAGCCTCTTGATTCTAAGTTGAAATCCAGGCAGAAGCAGCCAGGCTGGCAGTTCAGAGAAATCAGCAAAATGAGCAACTCAGGAAAAGCACAGACTCCAAGAAGAGCCTCAAACCCCAACCTAAAGACTGAGCATGAAAGAACAAATTACCCAGAAGCTCCTGTGGCTCAACTGCTGCCCATCTGCTCCTGCTCACACCAGGCCCTGTGTCCACAGGGCAGCAGCCTGCCTGTCACCTTCAGCAGCAACTCCAGTGCACACCTTAAACTGGGCTGCCCAAACCACTCCCAGCCAAGGTGCCAGGAGGGTGAATTCAAGTCTGCAAACATTTACCTTAAAGACAATTCTGGTGACACCAGGAACCTCCCTCCCCTGCAGATGGTCCCTGCTGCAGCTGCATATTCAGACTGAGGATGTTTCTTCAAACCACCTCAGCACCAGACAAGTGTAATGTTCAATTTTCTTTTCAGCCAAGAGTTAGTGCTCAGCAGAGAGTTGAATCATTACTGCTGCAAGGTCCAGGAGCTCTCCTCATGCATCTACCAATCAGCCTCCAGTCTCCCTTGGCAAAAGGATACTTGGACTTTTTCCTGGAGAAACCTCTCATAACTCAAGGTAACAGCAGCACTGCCACTCTCAGCCCTCCCCTTCTCCTGGTGCTGCTGTTGTTTCTGGGATGCACTCCTCTGTGCTCCACCAGCAGTGCTGCCAGCCTCCCCACCCCCTTTGTGACACAGCTCCTCACAGCCTGTAGAGGTGCCAGATTTGTGGTGTTGTCTTGTCAGGATTTCTCAAGTTCAATAAACGTTTTAATTAAAGGAATGTCTTCTGTGCCAGGAGAAGCAGAGCAGGGGCAGGACTGCAGCCCCTGGGCAGCTCACTGCCAGTGTGACACTGCTGCCAAGTGCAACAGCTCCAGGCAGCTCCTGTGCCAGGTGCCCCCGTGCAGTGGGGGCTGCAGCACAGCCACACCAGCCTGCCTGCAGCAGCTCTCCTGGGCAGTCCCTCTCTCCAGCTGCCACCAGGCCACCACTCTCCTTCTCTTCACCTTCTGGGGGGCTGCACGAGCCCAGAGGCTGCCACCAGGAGACATCCTTTGCCAGCAGCCTCTGCACCAAGAGGGGCAGAAAGAGAGGGCTCTGCAGGAGTCACCTGGGCTGGGTGCTCAGGAAAGCAGCACCCAGAGCTCACACAGCTCTGGCTGGGAGCAGGGCACCCCTGAGCCTCTGCCTGGCACCGCAGCACCCACCAGCTCCTGCCTTCTCCTAGGCCTACAGAAGCAGCCACTGCCTGCTCTCTGTGGTGCTCTCCCTGCCACAAAGCCCAGCTTTGTTTCCAGACCATCCCAAACACAGCTCCTCATGCTTCTCCCCAGGCCTGGCCACAGAGGCAATATGTACTCCTGGTTTTCCAAGAGGAGAAGTGACACAGCACAGCCAGGGCCCAGCTCACCACAGCCCAGGCACAGCACGAGCCAGCACCCACCTCCTGGGCTCCTGCTTGGGCTGTGGGTGCCCAGCAGGGACAGCCCAGGGGCAGGGCTCCAGGACACAACACAGACCACCCAGGGCTGCCCTGGCACTGACACCTGCCACCCAGGCATCAGCACAAACGGGTTTCTTCTCCCACCCCCTACCAGGGACTTCTTGGCTCCCCCTCTTCCTCTGGGTCCCCATTTCATTCACAGCCAGGTCCTACAAGAAAGCTGGGGACAACCTTTTGAGCAGGGCCTGTTCTGGCCAAACGAGGAATGATGGTTTTAAACTAAAAGAGGAAGAATTAGACTAGATAGAAGGAAGAAATTCTTTACAGAGGGTGGGGAGCCCCTGGCCCAGGCTGCCCAGAGAGGTGGTCGCTGCCCCATCCCTGGAACCATTCCAGGTGAGGCTGGATGGAGCTCTGAGCAACCTGCTCTAGCTGGGGATGTCCCTGCTCAGTGCAGGAGGGCTGGACTAGGTGACCTTTAAAGGTCCCTTCCAACCCAAAACATCCCATGATTCTATGATTCTAGTACTTGTAGCTCAACTTTTCTTTCCCAGCCCAACGAGTGATGTAACACAGCAGACCTCCAGATCTCCACCCTGACCATTCCCTCACACAAGCTCTTCCACCACACCCCCAGCTCTGCAAACTGAAATACCTATTACTATAACCACGGGTTTGTTCCACTGAAACTCTGAGCAGCTGATGACAGGAACGTTCTCCACGTCCTCATGCTTGCTGACCGTGCCCAAAACTTCCCAGCCTTCTGCAGCTTTAGCCTAGAAAGGGAAATAAAAGTTAAAAAATCACCTGCTTTTCAAGATTAAAATGAAAATATGCAACCAAAGACACTGTTGGGGGATTCTTTAAAGTTTTCTGGGTTTTCTAGCTTTTTGGCATCCCTTGAATTTTTACAACTAGTACACAAACCGAAAGAGAAAAGAAAGAGAAAAGAAAGAGAAAAGAAAGAGAAAAGAAAGAGAAAAGAAAGAGAAAAGAAAGAGAAAAGAAAGAGAAAAGAAAGAGAAAAGAAAGAGAAAAGAAAGAGAAAAGAAAGAGAAAAGAAAGAGAAAAGAAAGAGAAAAGAAAGAGAAAAGAAAGAGAAAAGAAAGAGAAAAGAAAGAGAAAAGAAAGAGAAAAGAAAGAGAAAAGAAAGAGAAAAGAAAGAGAAAAGAAAGAGAAAAGAAAGAGAAAAGAAAGAGAAAAGAAAGAGAAAAGAAAGAGAAAAGAAAGAGAAAAGAAAGAGAAAAGAAAGAGAAAAGAAAGAGAAAAGAAAGAGAAAAGAAAGAGAAAAGAAAGAGAAAAGAAAGAGAAAAGAAAGAGAAAAGAAAGAAAAAAGAAAGAAAAAAGAAGTCATTTTCCTTCTGGTGTTTATTCCAGTTCAGCAAGCAAGCAATCAGCAACTAAAACACACTTTTTTTCCCCCAAACAACAGTTCTAGGGAGGCTTTTGCCAGAAAAGCATCCAAGGAGAGCAGTGTTAAAGAAATCAGCATCAGGCTGACCCACAGAGCAATGCAGGGTGAGTTCTCCAGTGCAGGCTCAGGCACCACCAGCCCACAGCAAGGTTCCAGACACAAGCCCACGTTTCCAAACCCGGATGCCAAAAATGAGCTCCTATAGAAGGCAGGGCACTCGACACTCAGTGCCTCACACAGCCAGGGAACCAGCCTTCCCTCCTGCATTGAAAAGAGCCTGAATTATCTGGCTTGGAAATGCACTTGAACAATGAAAGAGCTGCTGCTTCTTGCCAGCTTCACCTCCTGTGGAACTGGCACTCTCTGCACTCTATCAGGTTGCCAGCAGCCAGGCACTGCAGAGGGGCAGCCCAGGGAACCTGGGTCCCATTCAATGAACTGCTGAAACGGCTCAAAACGTTAATAATTCGAGTTTTACAGTAACAAAGTGATCCTTCCAGCTGCTTCAATCCAATACCAATGTCTTTTACCTATCTTTTGTTTCAGTGCCATGCCCAGCTCCAGCTGCCCCAGCCCCACTGCAGAGCTGGACACCTCCCGGTGTCTGTTTCGGGTGCAATCCCGTTTTTTCCCCTGCATTCCCTCTCCTCTTGCAGCCGGTGCTGCGGAGG